GCTCTTTTTATAACATAAATATATCTTGTTACCAGTAGCTAGTCGTTTGTGTATTTCAAGTTTTACGCTCTTTTTATAACATAAATATATCTTGTTACCAGTAGCTAGTCGTTTGTGTATTTCAAGATTGTTGTATCTATATTGTTTATTTATTTTTAATTGATAGTTCTACATTTGACTTATTCTTTTATATCGAAATATCATCATAATGTTTATTTACAATTTAAGCTCCCACCCTAACACATTGTAAAAACCTTTTAATTTTTAACTGTAGCCCCGTTTTGTCCGTCTTGTCAAACTGTTGTCCCGTTACTGAAATATAATTGCTCTTATTCTACACTTTGAGGTCATGGGGTGCATTCTAAACGTGATATCCAAATTCTGCTGTTCGACTAAAGTAACAAAAAAAATTGGCGGTAGGTGATGTTGACTAGTTGCCTTTTTTCTAGTCTATCACTACAAAATTAGGGACTGCTATCACAGCGAGCTTTGCACGAATGTCAGAAATAAGCCAAACGAAATAATATTTTCTTTTTTTCCTTTTTTTTTGCTACGAGTTATCAACATTGTATTCATGTTTTAGCAATAGCAGTCAAAACTCAGATACCATTTCTATTTGGCTTCCTTTGTTTTCATTTCACATTAAGCCTTAATTCTGGTTGAACAAAAATATGTTCCATTCTCATGACAACAGATATAAAAACCTTACCCTATACATGTAGTAAAATACAGCGCATATATTTTCGAAGTGCGGTTTTGATTGCACTTTTCTCTACAAGTTCTGTTAACAGGAAGATAAAATCTGGTTACAAGACTAACAACTGTTTACGGATATAGTTTATATCTTTAGTCAAGTATTATCGCAAGTCTGCAATCTAAACTTACTAGCTTTCACCTCACGATGATACTAAACTTCCCATCGTTATTATTTCTCTGAAAGAAAGGGAGCTTTGCAATGAGGCGGAGTTAAGTGACGTTTCTAGATATCATCCAATAAGCATAACAGTGGAGGCGTAACTCAAGGATAGATTGAGACTTCCGACGCCAGATTTGCATTCAAACAAAGATGATGGGCGTAGCTTCATGTAGACAGTTGCTCGGCAAGCGTATTTTCACAGGATCGGTGGTAGTCGAATGTCCACAGAACTAACTCTCTTTGGTGGGTTGTTCTCTTCAATCCACCAGGTTTACCGTCGTGACTTGATAGAGCTAGCCTGTAGTGTTTGTTTGGACTATATATTTTATTGTGCTGAGATTTATGTTCGTATCAGATCTAACATTAATGTCCGTATCAGCTACTTGTTATTGTCAAGTTTGTTTTAAAGTGTAGACTAGTGACAAAATATCAAATTAAAAAGAAAGTTAATAGACCTCAACTTAACCTTCATTTACTGAAACCATTAGAAAGTCTAGAGTGATAAGATGGTATTCGAGTGCAAAAAAGGTGCGACTAAGAAAAAATATGAGGGATGTTACAATTGACTTTGGTGATTTATATTTACATAAAAATTTAACGTTGCTTTTTACAAACCTTTGACTTCCAGTTCAAGGTTAAACGAGACTAATAACCATGATTACATCGAAAAGTTATGCGGACGTTCAGAGTACAATGAATTATTTGCAAACTATGAGTGGTGTGAATAACACGTACAGCATGACCAGTATCAACACAGGCTCAAATCTCACCGTGAGTTATGCTACAGAAGGATTTGGCCCCAATATAGATTCCATATCCGCTAACATGACATCTACTGTAACTCCAGTAGGAATGGGGATAAATGGGGGGTCTCCTTGTATGAATCAAGATCCACAAGCTTATCCTATTGGAATAATGAACTCCCTAGCCTTAGGAATTAATGACATATCTACCCAATCCTGCATGAATACAATGACTGGACTTAATTCTATGAATGGACCCATTGTACCCAGCACGGAGTTTTTTATGTCTAGTCGTCGCGGCCCTTCGCCCTCTGATGCCGAACATGTCGCTAGTTCATCTAATGTGGCGATGCAGCGTGGACGCACAGAAAAAACCTACCGACGTAGTTATACACATGCCAAACCTCCTTATTCCTACATTTCCTTGATCACGATGGCTATCCAGAACTGTTCAAGCAAGATGTTGACACTCAGCGAGATCTATCAGTTTATCATGGATTTGTTTCCATATTATCGGCAGAATCAGCAGCGCTGGCAGAATTCCATTCGTCACAGTCTGAGCTTTAATGATTGTTTTGTCAAAGTTGCACGAACACCAGAAAAGCCAGGCAAAGGAAGCTTTTGGACACTGCACCCAGACTCTGGAAAGATGTTTGAAAATGGTTGCTATCTACGTCGCCAAAAAAGATTCAAATGTCAAAAGAAAGAAACGCTTCGACAAGCACATAAAACCATCGAACAACAACAGAAACAACGAAGACCGGAGGCCAAGCCTGGTGTTTCTCCACCGCCCCTGAAATTGGTGGACATCTCTAGAAAGCCTCCTAACAACCTTTCTCCTTATCCGTCACAGCATTCTCGTCAGCTTCTCCATTCCGACCAGGGTCAGCAGCATGTTGCCTCTTCTCTGTCCGCTAAATCTCAGCCGTTGACAGCAGTTACCACCACAGACAACTATAACTGCCACGAACGTTCCTTGATAGATGGTAGTCAAAATTATAAAGTGGAATCGACGTGTTGTAGTCCTCAGATCACCATGAATTACTCACAGTATGGTGGGTTAGATCCTCACCAATTCGGGCTGTTTACTCGTGGTCTGAGTGACTCGGGGTCACTTCATCCTGCCATGCTACCCTCTGGCCACATGAGAGTTGACCCATACTATAATCCTTCTAATCATCCATTTTCCATCAATAATATAATATCCAATGAGACCAAAGCAGACATGAAAATTTACGAAATAACTCAATACTCAGGCTATGCACCCATGTCACCACTTTCCGCAGGACCTCCGTCCAATGAAACAACCAATTACTATCATCATTCTCTCTACTACGTCCATCCATCAGCAGTTTCCAATATATGATAACTTTCTGTCATTTTCTCTTTTGCGTTCATATATAGTCTACTACGTTCACACCAAAGCACCTGTGAAATAAGAACAGTGTTCTCTCTACTACATTCATATCTTTCAACAGCCTCTAAGTTATAAACATTGTTCCATCAGGATTTGTTTAGACACTAGCACAGCAAGAACTTGTTCAGATAATTCACAAACAGGAATTCATACAATGGTGCCTGAAGTATTGTTGCCCAACACTGAATCTCATTATCGAAACACTAACATTCAGTGTAATATGGCCGTGTGGGTGAGCACGATATATATTTTTTCTCTAATTTAGTCTCAGTTACTCCATTTCTTATTTCAATAAGCAAGAGCACAGAGGGGTGTAGCTTCCATGTTTTTATTTATGTATTTTTATTTCAGTTTAATATATTCGACTTACTGTTCCTCACATTCTTACCAATTAGATTTTTTAAAGATTCCTTATAAATTTTCAATTTCTCTTTATGGAAACATCAATATCTGTTAAGTTTTTGTGTGTGTGATCCTGAACTACTATTATTTTTGTCACGTACTGTTCCCATAAGTGATATTAAGTACACAACATACTTGAAGGGGGAGTAGCATGTGTAAAAAGAATAGCTATATTTTACATGGTTAACATTGTTTCGATACAGATTTAATTGGTAATTTTGAAATTGGAGTATAAAGGACAACCTTATACCAACTATACTTTAGTGTGTGTAACAAATACTTTACAACTTAACGTATAGTTCGAATTGTTATCAATGTGATGTATTGTACAATAATATATACTGATTTTCTTATTAGTAAAATTGTTTATTAAAAACCTGAGATGAGTAGGTGTTTGATTTATGGTAAATCAAGCTCAGAATCGTTATAAACAGTGCTTGATATGAGTTACAAATATCATTTCATATAAATACAGCATCAGAACCAATATTTAGTATATATATATATCAGGTTTGATAATGACTTATAAATATGACACCAAAGTCAACATGTTTGGCTTTATTTTAGTGTTAGTTCACTTAGCAAAGCGAACATCATCATGCCTGTAAAAAATCGTAGCTATTGTTCTCTAACTTATTGAGTATAGAAGGTTTACCGATAACGAAAACAAACAGAATGAATTTCTTCAGCACGGTAAACAATAACGACAAGAACAAAAAACAAAAACGAACAGTCTTTAAAAAGTCGATTACAAAATCATGTTGTCTTTTTTTTTATTACGTACTGTTAGTGATAACGCTGTTAGATGGCTCACATATGTTTATTCGCACTTATTTTTATGCAGGAATGAAACCAATTGTAACAAATTTACTGATATAATTATTTCCTTTGTTTCCTTATAGCTATATTTCTGAACATATTATAGCGTGGTTTTCTTTATTTTCCAAATTGAACTTTAACAACGAAACTATTAAACAATGTATATTTAATTAAGCTCTTCGTAATCTTGACAAGTAATCACAATAATATACAACATTATTTAATTAGAATAAAGTTTGGAAAATCAACTGTGAAATACTGTAGTTCAGGTGTTAGAAAATATTAATCTAAGAAAATAATACTAATAATGTAAAGGCCTGTTTTCCAGTAGACTGTTTCTTAATGTAATATAGAGGAAGTTGAGAAGTCTGTTTCAGTACATCCGTCTTATTAAGCCTAACTAGAAAATGAAATCTCATTTGTTACCACGTGTAATTTAAAATTTAGTTTTTTTATGAAACAATTACCAGAAAAATTCCAAGCATTGGTATTTATTACCTTATTATAAATTTGGCTCTAGAAACAGCAATAAAGCTTGTTCAGATGTTTGACGAGAAAATGTTTTCAAACTGGTTGTGGGATATCATAGTATTAAAGTTACGTAAAAGTAGCCACGAAATATAGCACAAATAACATTTTTCTGCAATGTGAAGTCATAGCTGAAGATAATGTAATATCAGACACGTTTTTTGAGAATATTCCATTGCATCTGTATTAAGCATAATACAACATATATCTGGAGAGAGTATAATGAGTCACTCTAAAAGGCATTATTAAGTATGGACAGTATAATTTAAGACATATCTGGAAACAGTATAATGAATCACTCTAGTAGGCAGTATTAAGTATGGATTGTATAATTTAAGACATATCTGGAGACAGTATAATGAATCACTCTAGAAGGCAGTATTAAGTATGGACAGTATAATTTAAGACATATCTGGAGACAGTATAATGAATCACTCTAGAAGTCCGTATTAAGTACGGATAGTATAATTTAAGACATATCTGGAGACAGTATAATGAATCACTCTAGAAGGCAGTATTAAGTATGGACAGTATAATTTAAGACATATCTGGAGACAGTATAATGAATCACTCTAGAAGGCAGTATTAAGTATGGACAGTATAATTTAAGACATATCTGGAGACAGTATAATGAATCACTCTAGAAGGCAGTTTTAAGTATGGACAGTATAATTTAAGACATATCTGGAGACAGTATAATGAATCACTCTAGAAGGCAGTATTATTGTTTGGACAGTATAATTTAAGACATATC